CTCTCCACGTGGAAGTGGACCTCTCCATTTCGGTCAAGCAGGGGCGGAGGTGCCCTCGTACGAGTACGAGTACTCGGCGCCTCCCGAAAGCCACACTCGTCCGAGTGCTCCGACTGCGGGTCCGACACAGGGCCCTGAGGTTGACCGCCTCCGTCAACGTGTCCTCGTGCTTGAGATTGCACTTGGCCTTGGGACTGGCGGTGATGCTGCCGCCCAGACCGGAAATCAGGGCGAGCTCGCTCGTCTTGCGGGCCGCCTGAACCTGTTGGAGCGAGAGGTCGCGAGCCTGCACCTGCGGGTGGATCGCCGGGCGTCTTCGTCCGATATGGACGAGGCCTTTCGCATGATCTGACGGATCGAGGCTCTGTTGCCACGTCCGGAGCCGCCTGCGGCACACTCCCAGACGTACGCGTATGGTGCGTACCCGGCGTATTCAGCGTACTCGGCGTATGGCTCTGGGGTCCGTTCGTATGGAGCCCCTCCGGCGTACGGTCTTGACCGCAGCCTTGCCGTCCCGACCGAGGCTTGGGTGCCTGCTCCGACGCCCTCGTCGACGACCGTGACCGGCACTCGCTTCGAGGAGCTGGGTCAAGGTGGGTCTGCGAGTCAGCAACCCTGCGGGTCAAAGTACCGCTTAAGACGTCCAACATAGAACGTCGGGTGCGTCGTCATTGACTTTGGCAGGTCGATGGTGTACGACGCACCATGTCTGGCCAGGACTGCAAATGGTCCGATGAAGCGGTGCTTCAGCTTGTTGCTGCCGACAGAGCTGACAGTGTCTAGAGGTAGGTTTATCGTGTCTAGCAACACCAAGTCCCCAACCTTAAATATACTTAAGTTTCCTCTTCCATGTTTGTCTGAGTACTCCTTTTGTTTATCTTGGGCCGCTGCCATGGCATCGCGGACCCTGCTGACAACGCTCAACTTGGTATTCATAAAGGATTCCACTTGTTTTCCGCAGCGAAACTGGTATCACATCCGAGACCTGGGAGGAAAGGGCTTTCCGAGCCTCTCCCCCACTTAGAATAGAGGAGTCAGTGTCTCCTCGAAGAGTGAGAGGCACTCTGGGGTGACGGAAGCCGTTCAAGTAGAACGGCGTGAACCCCGTGGACGCGTGCACCGCGTTGCTGAGCGCAAACTCAACAACTGGAAGCTGCGTCGACCACGTACGTGGTGCTGCCGCGCACACAGTGTCCTCGAGCACTCGCTTGACACGCTCTGTCTGGCCGTCTGTCTGCGGATGGTCCGCAGTGGACATCTGTAGACGAGTTCCCAGTAAAGGGAACAGCGTTTTCCAAAACGCAGCAGTGAACCGCGGGTCTCGGTCCGAGACAATCGTCTCCGGGAGACCGTGATAGCGGAACACGCCATCGACGAGCAACCTTGCGGTTTGTTCGCCCGTAACAGTGACGGGAATTGGAGCAAGATGTACCATCTTGCTCAGCCGACACACGAAAACCAAAATTCCGGTGTTGCCGTGTCCGTCGGCGGGAAGCCCAAAGATGAAGTCAAGACTCATCGACTTCCAACAGTCAGCCGGTACGGGCAGGCTCTGTAGTGGAGCCGAAGAGTGCCCTGCGGGTTTGACCCGCTGACATGTTTCACATGCCTTGACGTACCGGGCGACCCACTTGTACATGTGGGTCCACCAGAAGGACTGAGAGACCGACAGAAAGGTCTTCTCGCGGCCCAAGTGGCCGCTGGAGGGCGCGTCATGCGCCTCCGCGAGGATGTCGAACTTCAGATCCTCGTCGTTGGGTACGACCACCCGTGGAGGATCCGTGGGCTCCACCCGGTAATAGAGGAGGCCCTCCTTCAACTCATATCGGTGGAGCCAAGAGCGCTGTCGCGACGAGAGCCAGTCGGACTTCGCGCTCGTTCCGGCCTTAAGGAACTTGACGAGAGGCGCGACAGCCTCATCGTCCCGATACGCCATGCGTATCTGATCATATAGATCCGTTGTCACCCGCGTGATGTGGGCCAATTCATAGTCGGAACGTTGAGAGAGGGCGTCCGCAAGCACGTTGAGCTTGCCCGGCTTGTATTCGACGCGGAAGCTGTATTCCGCGAAGAAGGACAGCCACCTCGCCATCCTTTGAGGGAGGTGAGGCGAGTTAGTCGCCGTCCTCAAGGCCGCGTGGTCTGTGTAGATCACAAAGGGCCTAGAGCCCAGAAGGTGAACACGGAACTTCACAAGGGCATATTTCATTGCCAGGAGCTCCTTGTCATGGACAGGGTAGTTCCGCTCGGCGGCTT